CGTTTTGAGGGCACTTTTCCAGTAGTAGCGGTTGCGCGTTCATAACACATTCCAGCTCGGTGTTTCCGTTCTCGCTGTAAAAGCGGAACACATTGTCGAATGGAATCCTGGAGGCCCTCTACTGCAGCTCACCAGTGAAAGCTATTTGAAGTGTATTTGTTTTTTTTCCCGGATAGTTTGGGCTTTTCGAGGATTTGCTATCGGAGCTTCTGTATTATCTAATTTTACATGCTGCGTTGATCCTTAATGCTTATTTCCAGTGAAGAAAATTCATTTAGACAATACCGAAGAAAATTACCCGATGAGATTCAGAGATCTACAATTTACTCGCTTTTTTGTATGTACATGTTTAAGTGTTATATATGCGTATGTCTTGTTGTTGGAAGATATGAGGTTTCAAAAATAATGAAATTAATACTGAAAAGGATGCTAAAATTTAAATTCTGGATAGGTATGCATCAGTTTGTCAAGTCGTATACATTCCTATTCAGCGCTGCAATTAGATCTCATTAGTACACTTGTTGTGTATGTTTATGTGTATGTATATGCATGTGTCTGTATGATATGTGTGTGTATGTTCTAAAATCTTCTCTTTCGTAAACCTCTGTTCCAACAAAACGGAATTTGGAGTCTTAACAAAAAAAAAAAAATGGAAATTATGTTTATAAAAAAAAGGATTAAGCTACGCTACAACCAAATTGCTGCAGCTTGAGCTTACTATAAAAAATCAGGCAAATTTTGGCGGATTCCTTGGAAAATTAATTGTCGCATAAATCTGGCAGAAAGCAATTAGCATCACTGAATGAATTATCCCCTAGGTTTTTTTTTAGTGATGTGGAACCAGCTTTATCCGGCGATGCGTAGCGCAAGATTTGTACACCATACTTAACGAGGATAATACTGTAAGTTTGTATGTTTATGTATATACGTATGTTTATGTGTATGTAAAACAACTGCTTTGACTTCTGCAAAATCGAAACGCAGCAGAAACGCGCCAAAATCCAGTTTAACTCTCGCCCTTGACTGTCGCGCTTTCTCGACGGGACTCAAGAAAATGTCTTGATACTGTCAAGCAGGAACCTACCAGCCCGCATTTCAACGAAAAGACCTGCGCGTTAACAGTAATGTTACTAAAACACTGCTTACTTACATGTGCAAACACTTAGTAGTGAATGATGATAGCCATGCCGACAGCAGAAGCAGCAGCATTCAATAGTATAAGAACTAACAAATTCCTTGAATTCCCTCCATTTCGGGGTTTTATAGCAGTCGATTTTTCTGCTAATTTGCATATGTTAAAAAATCATGAAAAACTAATTCTAATTCTCCAAACCAAGTTCTCTTCTACCTGAAAGCGGTTCAGACAAAGGAAATCTCGAAAACCTTGCCCGGTAATGACTGTCAGAATGATGGAATCGCGAAAATCGGTAATTATAAAACTCATTGGAACACGAAATGAACTCGTTTGCGGGTCTAGTTCCTTGTTAAGTATTACAAAACCCATATAGTTCCTTCTATCTCCCCTACGGTAACCACTTCCAATCCTCACCTTGTAGATTTCAGGGTCCCAATCCTTCAAGAAAAGTCTGAGACTCGCATTCAACGTAATATTAGGATAAGAGATAAGGAAACAGACCAAATATCATGTGCAAGAACACATTTTTATGCGTTTTTTGCATTTATACAGTGCAAAAACGCATATTGTCGAGGGGTTGTCTGTGTGTGTGTGTGTGTGTGTGTGTGTGTGT